CTGTGCGCTTACGTGGACAGCACTGCACAAACAGCTCAGTGAGGTTTCATCACCTTGGTATATCCGTGTCTCACCGCTGTGTTTGTGTCGGTGTGTGGCGGTGTGCTGCTGAGTGTCATTCATTGTTGTTTTTGCGTGTTTTTGTGTGCTCTCGCACGAATGTCAGAACTTCGATCAGGGCAAACAACAAGCATTACAGTTCTTGTGAAACATGCCAATAGAAGAGGTGAAATCAAGAACATGTTAGCCCAAGTTTATGACACTAATGCCATGAAGAAAGCGGCCGTGTGCAAATGAATTAGATGTTTTCCTGAGGGGAGAGAAAGTATCATTGATAAAAAGCGGTCAGGATAGTCAGTGGCAAGCAGAACTGACCAAAACATTACAAAACTTCATCACAATGTGCATCAAAAATCATCAGCTGACTGCGAGATGCACAACAGACCAAATAAGCACCGAGAGAGAAACAGTTAGGAAAATCTTAACTGAAAATCTCGGCCTGAGAAAGGTGTGTGCAAAAAACGGTCCCGGAAGGAGCTCTTGCATCACAACAATGCACCAGCTCCCACAGTACTGTCCGTGAGGGAGTTTTTAGCCAGTCAACAGATAACTGTATGGGAACACCCTCCCTACTCACCTGATCTGGCCCCCAGTGACTTTTTTTCTTTACCTGAAGATAAAGGAAATATTGAGAGGAAGGCATTTTGATGATATTCGGGACATCAAGCTAATACAACAACAGCTCTGATGGCACTTTCAGAAAAAAAAGTTCTGAAATTTCTTTGACCAGTGGATGAGGTGCTGGCATTGGTGCATAGATTCCCAGGGGGAGGACGTTGGGGGTGACCATAGTGATATTCAGCAATGAGGGAAGTCGCACTTTTTCTAGGATGAGTTTGTCAGTGTGATTGTCAGACCACGTACTCCTGGATATGTTGAACAAAGATTATAGAAGAAAGAGCAAATCCCTGGCAGACCCTACTAGCTAGTAACATTACCCCACAGAGGATAATAATGGGAGTGAGCGGAGAATGTAATCTTACCAGGAGACAGGAAGTAGGAGGTTAAGAGTTGCATCTGTGGTTGCTGTGAGCGGACACTTGTCTGGGGAAATCCTTTTCTCTCCAGTCCCCAGGTGAATATCTGGACAACTTAGACCTTTTCCTATTCTCAGCATCCTATGATCAGAAGCATTTAAGAAGACATGAGAGGAAAGGCTGGCTGCAGTGGCTCATACCCACCATCCCAGCACTTTGGGAGGCCAAGGCAGGAGGACTGCTTAAGACCAGGAGTTTGAGACCAGCCTGGGCCACGTAGCAAGACTCCACCCCTACAAGAAATAGGAAAATTAGCCAGATGTGGTGGCACTCGCCTGTAGTCCCAGCTCCTCGAGAGGCTGAGGAGGAAGACTGCTGGAACCTGGGAGTTTGAGAATGAGGTGAGCTGTGATCATGCCACTGTACTCCAGCCTGGGTGACAGAGTAAAACCTTGTCTCAAAAAAAAAAAAAAAAGACATGGGAAGAGAGATGTTGGTTGAAGGATATAAAATTCCAGTTAAACAGGAGGAATAAGTTTCAGTGATCATGAACTTCAGTGTCCAAATACTGCATGGTGACCGTAGTTACTATCAATGTATTGGATACTCGAAAATTGCTAAAAGCGTCAATTGTAAGTATTCTTGCCCTAAAAAAAGATCAGCATGGCAGTAATGGGCATGTTAATTACCTTGAGTTATCCATTCCACAGTGTATACGTATTTCAAAACATCACATTGTACCCCATACATATATGCAATTTTACTTGGCAATTAAAAAAAGAAATTAAGCCGGGCTCGGTGGCTCAGCCTGTAATCCCACGCTTTGAGAGGCGGAGGTGAGCAGATGGCCTGAGCCCGCGGGTTCAAGACCCACCTGGGCAAATTGGTAAGACCTCATCTCTACAATAAATCAAAAAAATCAGCCGGGCGTGGTAGCGCGCGCCTGTAGTTCCAGCTGCTTGGAAGGCTGAGGCGGAAGGATCGCCGGAGCCCAGCAGGTCGAGGCTGTGGTGGCGGGGAGCGGCCACTGCACTCCAATCTGGGTGACAGAGTGAGACTCCAACTCGAAAAAAAAAAAAGATATTAGGTTGGGCACAGTGGCTCACGCCTGTAATCCCAGCACTTGGGGAGGCCGAGGTGAGGGGATCTCTTGAGGCAAAGAGTTTGAGATCAGCCTGGACGACATAGTGAGACGCTGTCCATACAAACATAAATTAAGCTGTGCGTGGTGGCGTGTGTCTGTAGTCCCAGCTACTAGGGAGGCTGAGGCAGGAGGATCACCTGAGCCCAGGAGTTTGAGGCTGCAGTGAACTATGGTCAATGCCACTGCAGTCCCGTCTGGGCAACAGAACAAGACCCTATCTCTAAAATAATAGTAATAATGATAAAGCAATTTTAAAAACAGAAGAAAAGGAAGCAAAAAGAACACATCACAAGTAGGGAAATTAAAAATAAACAAGGCTCGGAAGGCACCAAGTCAGAGCTGGTGTATTTGTCTAATAAAAAATGCAGAAGTCATCCTGGAACTGAGCGAGTGTGGAAGGATCCTCTCTTCAGACAGCAGCTTCTCCAGAACTTAAGGGGTCTTTGCACGTGCCTGGCTTCTTCTCAAGGTGCCTTTTTGGGGAAGCCTGGTAGGACCCCGCTCATTCTCTGGGGAGCTCATTCCCTCCACCCCCAGCCTGGGATGGATTTCCTGTGGCCGAGGAAGAAATTCCTCACCTCTGGCTTTCTGTCTCTGAACATGGGAAGGACAGACCTACCTTTCCACACACTCCTGGGGTATTGGACAAATGGATGTCAGCCATGTTGAGTAACATAGCCAGGACTGTCGATGGCTGCCAGCCCGCCACGTGTCAAACACCCTCCTGCATCTCTACCCACAAGGATCTCTTGGGAAGGGCTGAGCGCTATCCCAACTTTCCAGTTAAGAAATCAAGGCTAGGCTGGGCTGGGTGGATCAGCCTGTCATCCCAGCACTTTGGGAGGCCGAGGTGAGTGGATGGCCTGAGCCCGCGGGTTCGAGACCCGCCTGGGCAACTTGGTGAGACCTCATCTCTACAATAAATCAAAAAATGAGCCGGGCGTGGTAGCGCGCGCCTGTAGTTCCAGCTACTAGGAAGGCTGAGGCGGAAGGATCACTGGAGCCCAGGGGGTCGAGGCTGCGGTGGCTGGGAGCGGCCACTGCACTCCAGTCTGGGTGACAGAGTGAGACTCCAAATAAAAAAAAAAAAAAGAAAGAAAGAAATCAAGGCTCAGGGAGGTGGGTCACTCCTATGGCCGCTTTGGGAAGACCTTGCCAAGCTGGGATTTGATGCCACGTCTGTCTGGTTCTGGTTCCTATCCCAGTCATAGCCGACACTCGGCACTTTGTGGTGTCCAGGCTCTGTTCTTGGAACGGTATCTACATCAATGCCCCTGGTGCTCACATCAGCCCCAGAGGAAGGCTCTCAATGGGCCCGAAGAACAGATGAGAATGTTGAGGCAGGTGGTGGAGACAGAATTTGGACCCTGGCAAACGGGTTCCAGATTTGTGAGCTTCTTTCTTAAAAACTGATTGGTTGATTGATTAAGTTGGGATCTCACTCTGTTGCCCAGGTTGGAGAGTAGTGGCATCATCATAGCTCACTGTAGCCTCAGACTCCTGGGTTCAAGTGATCCTCCCGCCTCAGCCTCCAGGTGCACGTCACCACATCTGGCTCATTAAAAAAAATTTGGGGGGGATAGAGATGGGGTCTTGCTATGGTGCCCCAGCTGGTCTTACTCCTGAGCCCAAGTGATCCTCCTGTCTCAGTTTCCCAGAGTGCTGGGATTATAGGCATGAGCCACCAAACTTTGTTTTTTAAAATGTTTTTTATTTTATTTTCTTAGAGACGGGATCTGGCTCTGTTGCCCAGGCTGGAGTGCAGTTATGTGATCAGCGCTCGCTGAAGCTTTCAACTTCTGGGCTAGCTTCCTTTTTTTTTTGGTAGAGAGAGGGGAGTCCCCGTGTTATGAAATCGACATGATGCTAAAATTAAACTTTGTTGCAACGTGCCTAATGCAGCATCTGGCACGTGATGCTTTTCACATTTTTAAATTTTTTTATGAGGCAGTCTGGGAAGAGACCCTTAAGTGTGAGATTGGTTTTCCTGGGGGCCGCTCATTTACTGGTGGCAGTACAAGAAGGTGACAAGAGACGGGAGAAAGATGTTGGTGGGGAAAGAAGAGAGAGGAGGAAGAGACAAAAACACGTCAGCCAGATTGACTTCTCTTTGTGGTGGAGAACGGGGGAGCATGGAGAGTTTCCAGGCTCTCCTTGAGTGGAAGCAAGTCAGCAAAAAGGGCAGTGATGCCCGGACGTCCTCAGCCAACTCTGGCTCCTCCTTCTCATCCTCACACATCTTCCTTACTGAAAACTCAGGGTCAGGAGCAAAGGTCCCCCTCTGGCATGACACAACCACAACATGATGTGGGTCTACCGTCTGCTTCTCTTCTGGGGTGAGTGTGAGGCTGAACGGGGCTGAACGGGGCATGGCGGGGGGTGGGGGGTGAAGGGAGGAGGACAAGCTGGAAACAGACTTCGGGGAAGAGGGAGGTCATGGATGGTCCAGACCAGAGATCATGATCCTAGGCACCATGACTGGGAAACCTTGGACAGAATTTTGTATCTCAGGGAAGTCCATCCGTCCGTCAGGGAAGATTTTCTCCAGGGTTGTTTATTGGATGTGCGTTTCCTGAGCGCCTCCTGTGTATACCAGGTGCTGTTCCAGGCACCGAGGAGGAGGCGGACAGCAACGGACAAGGTTTCTGCGCTCACGAGGCAGGATGATATGCTAGACAAGAAGGCTCAGACGGGCATAGCAGCCACCCGCTCAGCACTGTTCCACATTCTTTAAGCATAGAACGAACTCAATTGCCACAAAATTTCTGTGAGATTGCGTCATGATTTTGTTAGGGCACGGATAGGGTGAGGATGGCAGGATGGAGAGGGAGCCGCAGGGGTGCAGTACTGCCGGAGCCGGCAAGCCGGAGGTGTGCGCCGCTGGCAACCCAGAGATCCGAGTGCAAAGAATTGCAAAACGCAAAGAGGTGAAAGATGTATTTAAGAAAAGATCACTCCTCACAGACAGGGAGTGGACTTACACTCTAGGTGAGTGCGGTCCCATAGCCCCCTGAGTCCCGGCTTAAATCCTTTTCCTTGGAGATGTTGCAATCAGGTAGACGTGACTACTGTGACTTCCTTATGGACCACCTGCAAATGTCTTGGGGAACCTGTGACACAGAAACCCATTAATGTCTGTTCATATTCTCATAGCCCCTAGAGAAGGACGTGACAAGGATTCTAATGCTCCTGCACCTTCCCGAAAGACATTCCTTAAAGATAATGGAGGGGGCACTTCCCCTTATCTCCTAGGCATCCCAGTGGATAGCTTTGGGTCCTGCCCTGTAGATAGGGCCTGTTCTACTGAAAGATTGAATCCCACCTGCTCCCCCTCTGAGCGGTCATAACTTTTGTAATTACAAGTTTCATGACTTCTACAATCTTTGCCCAATGCATGATGGCTTAGGTGTAAATTCCCCTTCCTCTAGGCAAGCTGGATTGCCACTATGAGATACCTCTGATACCTGGCACCAGGAAGTCTGTTTCCGAAAAGACAAAGTCGGCAAAGTTAATTTTACCTAAAGTATGTATTTCTTCAAAACATAGCTTCTACTTTCTCATCATTGTACTAAGGTTTAGAAACAAGATAAAAAATGGCTTTCGGTTCTCAGTCTGTCCTTTCATTCCCTACTCCTGCACTTGGAAATATGCTTATGACCCTGGGATACGGGGTGAAAATCAGTCTTCTGTATCTACTTCCTGCTGAGGTGGGCCATAGAGATGTTCCTACCTATCTATTTCCAAGGGCATGAATAGGAAATGGTGGGGCCTTAACAGAATACTATTTGAATTTAATATAACATTGAGTGAGAGCACAGGCAAAAATTATTAAGCAACCGATAATGAAAAAGGCTATTGCTCCAAAAACAATGTTGGGAAAGTGAAAGTAGTTCTGTACATTATATGGATGATTAGCTAAAACCTCTAATTTATCAATGCAAGTTGAAATATTCCTTTGTAAATTATCTATAGTTGTACTTTAACAAGGAAATACAACCACTTTGACAAAGTCTGAAGAAAGAAAAACTGAAAACGTTAGAGACATGTAGTTAGGTTGTAGCTTAAATTGAAAATTCAAGATAGGTAAACCTTGGCAAGAGAAAATCGGTTTCTTTTATTTTCACAATTAGTCTGATATGCTTTATATGCTAGAGGGTAAAGCCTAGGCTATTTTGCCGTTAATCCTATGTTGGATAGTAATCCTTGAGCCTGATCTGTGGTAGATGTGGCAAAATGTCTTGGGTGCTAGTTAGGCACAAGATTATTTCCTACCTCACCCTAGAGAGACTGATTAAAAATTTTTAAAAGCATAATGTTATAACACAAAATTACAGTAGTTGTTGTAAAAGTTACTTATTTAGCCAAAGTGATAGTTCAAAGATTTTGAAAAGACAAAGACAGTGGGGGAGGGCTAATTGAATTTTGTCTCTTTCTTCCCCCCTCTGTTGTTTAAAGGAGAAAATTCTTTTGGATATGACTATATGACTTCAACATGGATGGCCAGGACCAAAGAGCTGGCACCTGTGTCAAATTAAGAAATTAATTTGGGTTCCAGCACCCTAATGTTTACCCGGGGGGGGGTTGTTGGGGTGATGGTGAGCCAGTGTCAGGCAGTTTAGCACATTTGCAGGCCTTCATAAGTGGCCACCATTTGTGAGTCAAGTGTTTTCTCCTCTCTTCAGAAGAGAGTGTACCTGCTTCCCAGTGGTTTTCTGGCCTGCACAGTGGACAAGGTCCAGGAGGTTAAGGCCTTTTTGGGGGGCAACTGTGCCTTCAGTGCCCCCGCAGACTGTACCCATAAGCAATGGGCACCATCCCCTTAGCAGGTTTGTCCTTGCCAGATGGGCAGTTGGAGTTTTGTCACTAATGGTGACTGGCAGTTGGGTGCCTCTTTGGCCCTCTGGTTCTGTAGACCTCCATGTGGGCACCCTCTGCTAGAAAAAACTCAAAAGTTCTTTTTAATAGGCTACACATAGGGCATTTTTGTTTATTTCTGTTTGTAGCAGTTTGGTGTAAAACGCTTTGGAGTGGACAGACCACATGGATATGAAATGATCTGTGCCTACTTATTTATAACCGTGAACAGGCAAAGTTGTTAAAAACCCTTATGAATTACTAAATTGTAGTCTTAGTTGTAAGGTGTGGACAATTAGGTGAGAATGATCAGTTCCCATCCTTATTGTGCTCACACACAGATATCCCGTATTTTACCCATCCGGCAGGAGAAGTACTAGGCTTAGTAAAAGTGACTTAACCAGGTGGGAATGGCCAGTTTCCAAACCTTACCATGTAATGCAGTGTCCAGCATTGAAAGTTTTACCTTTCTTATAGGTGCTTTAACCTTTCGTTTATAAAATACAACTTTAGCAAGCCCGATACAGCAAACAGTGGTGTTATTTAGCACAAATGTGAACACATGGTAAAGTTGGAAGTAAAATTTACTAGCGCGCTTGCAAGTTTGATTGGAGAAACAGATTAAAATGACAACTGACCTTTTTTGGTAGTTAGTTAACTTTACTTTCGTCTGGGAGGGAAGGTTGATATCGCTCCAGTTTCAATTTAACTTGAGAGAGATTTGTCATAAGAAAACAACAAAAAAGAACTTTAATATCCTTTTGCCCCAGCCACCTCCCACCCCCGCCCCAGAAGAGACCTGTTAAGCCATGTGGAAACCTGAATGGGCTTCCCAAGTACACATGGAGGTGGTAACTTGCTGCAGCCAGTGGGGCTGCCTCCAGGGGGTCATCAAGCAGTGGGGGAAAGGGGGGTGGCAAGAAGGCTGAAGGCTGGGATCAGGTGCCCTGGCCTTTGGCATCGGCCCCTTCTCCGAAGATAAAAGAGAAAGAATGAAGACCATGGTTAGGTGCCGCGGCCGGAGATGCCAGCCCCTCCTCCACAGGTAAAAGGGGTGGGCAAGAAGGAAGAGAATTTTGGAAGGGAAACTGATGGAGAGTAAAGTAGCAAAAGCAGATGACAAGAGAGACAGGAGTGGTTAAACCAGTTGGGTCAGCATTTGAGTTGTGAGTGGGAAAGCAGGAATCGGAGTTGTAGAAAGAATAGAGAGTGTGAAGGGGGTGAAACATCTTTTGAGGGAGGGACGGCTCAGGCAGCAGGATCAGTATCCTCTGATGGGCCTATGGGCAATGGTGTCTGGGGGCCAACACAGAAATATGGCAAGAGGAACAGACAGCTGGGTGGCGAGCTAACTCATAAAAGGCTTGACTATACTGGAGCTCAAGGAACTTGTCATCTCTTGCGAAGTATAAATCAAGCTGCAGGAGTGCATTAGGAGTTAAGGAGCCACCTTCGGGCCAGGTTTCGCCATCCCCCAGCTTATATTGTGGAATTTCCCCGTACTTGGCCACCAGACGAAAGGGTCAGCTGGGGCAAGGTGGGCCGGAACCGGTGCCGGGGCCGCAAAGCAGTATTGTAATAAAAGAAAACAGGGATACAGTTGGGCTCTTGGTTTCATGGATTCGTTTCTGGGCCTAAACCCATCCAGAACCCCTGCTGGGGGTCCCCAACACGTCCCAAGGAATGAGTCAGCAGGGAGAGAGCGTCCTCCCGACCCTGTGCCCGCTGGAGATCACAGGAGGCTATGCTCCACCATGTCTTGGAAGGCCTGGTACCAGGACTTCCGGCAATTGGGTCCCAGACCCTTGCTAGGAATCTTCCAAGACAGAACCGGGAAAAGTCCAAGAGACCCAGAAATTCATCTGAACCGGGGGGGTCCAAGAGCACACATGCAAATAAGTAGGTGTGTGGATGATAATGAGGGAAGAAAGACATACTGTACAGCTGTTGGTGTCTCAAGGTCCTTCGTGGAGTTACTTCACCAGCCAGAGAAGAAAAGAGCAAAGAAAACCAAGCACTTTGTTTCCCACCCATATGGGTGCTGGCGGTCCGAACTTTCCTTCGGGGATCTTCTTGCCTCCCTAGGGAGTAGCCCTAGGCAGAGACCATCAGTTGTCCTCCGAGATCCAGCTCGGTCCGTGGGGAAACTCAGAAGTCTTGGCTAGAAGGAAGTAAAGAGTTAAGCTTAGTCCCTCACCCTGTTGGGCTACAGCGATCTGATGTCTTTCCCTGACACCTTCCAGTTGCCACCAGCTTCCAACACAGTCCACCGAGGGGCACCAGTTAGGAAATAAAGAAGGAAGAGAGGGAAAGAGAGAGATAAAATCTCAGTGGGACCTGCAGAAAATGTTAGGGGTGCAGCCCCACCGGAGCTGGCATGCCAGAGGTGTGTGCTGATAACTCAGAGATCCAAGTAATGCAAAGAATTGCAACACACAAAGAGGTGAAAGAAGATTTATTTAAGAAAAGATCACTCTCCACAGACAGGGAGCAGACCTACACCCTAGGTGAGTGTGGCCCCATAACCTCCCGAGCCCTGGCTTAAATCCTTTTCCTTGGAGATGTTGCAGTTAGGTAGATGTTGCAGTTAGGTAGATGTGACTGCCGTGACTTCCTTATTGATCACCTGTGAATGTCTTGGAGAACCTTTGACACAGAGACCCGTTAATGTCTGTTCATATTATCATAACCCCTAGAGAAGGGCGTGACAAGGATTCTAATGCTCCTGCACCTTCTTGAATGACATTCCTCAGAGCTAATGGAGGGCGCACTTCCCCTTATCTCCTAGGCATTCCCAGTGGGTAACTTCAGGGGATCCTTGGCTTCCCTGCAGATAGGGCCCATTCTTTTGTTTTGTTTTGTTTTTTTAATCAATATTTTTTATTATGATATTGTGGGGTACAGTTAAGGGTTAGG